TAAGGAATAAACTAGACCTCAACCAAAAAGAGGTCAACAATGGTAATTCTTATGATAATAATGCAAAGACACAATAATCAAACAGTAAAAACTCAAGTAAGGAAAACAAATAGAAACTGGTTTAATGATGCAAATGGAACTAACTTCACTAAACTAATATCTAAACTGCAAAGTTAAATTTACTAGGACTAAACTAAGTTTTGTGATAAAGAGTTCTTAAGAAAGTATCATTCCCCTTTACAATGAGTTTATGGTTAGTTAAGCAATCAAAATTGTTTAAAATTATATAAAATTGTATTGTGTCAAATAGGAGCATTCATATCCTTTCTCCTCTTTACGAGTGAAAAGAACATTGACTAATCCATAGTTTGGTCCCTAAATCCGCGGTTAGGCTGGGAGGATATTGACTCTCAATTCAGAGCTCCCACGTTCCCCTGGGCTTAGGACTAACATCTCGCTTTAGTTTCTAAACATCTGGACTAAATTGGGTATTTTACCCTATCACCCTAAAATCTCTAACTTTACGCCCAACAAAGTATATTTCTTTATTTATTTGTACTCAACCACATGGACTACATTCTCATCCATGGAATCAAATGTGATTCTCACTTTATTGTATAAAGCATAGCCCTCTCGGATCATATGTTTCTAAAAAAATTTTAACAATTCAATTGGTCAAATAAAAAATTAAATTAAGATCAAAGTTTAAATCATAATTATGAAAATTAAGGCCTTGCACAACAATATTGATTCTTCACATAACCATATTTTATTATAGGGAGAAGGATAAAGAAGACTACTCGGAATGTATGAAGAAGATACAATAAAACATGGATTTTATATACAAAAACAAGTTTACCAAACAGAGAAAGGAAAGAACACAACTTATCTCAGTCTCCTCCTCAAGCAAATCCCTTGAAGTTCCTTTGAATCTCTTTTTCTCTTTACAATACCAATGAATTCTCCCTTAGAAGTGTACTGAAGAAGAAATCTCTCACTTTCCCTCTCCTATTACAACTTTTAGATAAAATCTTCTCAAAACTCTAAGACTCTCCACACATAAAACACTCACAACCACCACACACACCAAAAGACACAAGACTCTAACCAAAAACCGTCCCCACAGAGACACACTTTTCTGACATAAAAGCACATTTTTATAATGTAGGGTCGAATTTCCAAAGAGTTTCCTTAAGCAACCCTCCAAAAATAGTCCACATTCAATGAATTTTGGGCCGTAACCACTTCTAGCGCCGTTGGCGCCGAATTCTGGCACCCATTGCGCCAAAATCTGGAGTTGCATGTTCTCTCAAGATTCTGACGCCATTGACGCCAGTTCTCTTTATTCTGGCACCATTGACACCTATTCAATTTCTAAAACTACATCATTTTACTCCAAAATTTTTCCTTTTTGCTTCCTTCTTGCTTCAAATGCCTAAAGTAAATATATCTAAAAAAACATGATAATACATTTCTTTAAACTAAAATATCACTAAATTTAAGCATAAAATGTATACATAAAATTAAACATTTTTTGGTGTTCACCCTCTAATGAAATTAGAATATAGCAATGACCATCATGTGTAACTTCTCGTAGTTGAGAAGTAGATGTTTTTTTCATTATAATAGTTGACTATGTGGAGTGCTTGACTTATTAAGGGTCTTAATATAAAAAACATTGATTAATTCTATAATGACTTTGACAGGTCTTGATAGAATATCTTCAATATCCTTAAAACCCAAACTCATTGATGAGCAACTTTGTCAGAGGAAGATTTTCCTAAACACTATTATTATTAGGTTCATCAAGATGACAAATTAAATAATTAATATGAGAAGTGAAACATATCAAAGTCTCTATAAGATCAACTTTGAATTGACCATTATCTCCACCAAGAATCTTACTCATAGAAGTTTAAAAAAAAATATTGTTTAAGGGATGTAAAGAAAAACCGTAGAAACATTCTTCTTTTTCAACAAAAGATAAATCACACTCTGTAATGATCCAGTCTCTAGCTAGCTCAATGACAATTGAGATACTTTCTTTATTAGAATAAATGAAGTCATCAGGGCCATCTTTAAAACTAAATTATTAAATTTGAAAATTCAAATAAAATTAATGATTTTTCAAAATTTACCTATTCGGTGACATTTTTATCTAATTTCAGGATTACTTTTATATGTGGCTTCTAACCAGGATGACTCATTAATTAGTGATGGAGCACCTTTCGCAATCACAGTAGAAATCACAGTATAACCATAGTATCTCAACTTATAAATTAGGATTCATGAGAAGAGCCTCGTGTAAGGTGATATGGTGTAGCTTATTATACTCACATTTATGTACAGTGAATATTTTTTTAGCATTTCTCTTTTCTCCTTATTTCTTTTTTCTCCTTACACTAGTTAAAAATCTAGTATATTTCATGAACAAACAAATCAAGGTCCAATCGATCAATTCCTTTTGAACATATTTAAACCAAAAAATTTATACACAATATCTAATTACTATGACAATTCTTCCTATTTAAACTCCATCAAGTAAACAAAAAATATCACAATGAGAAAATTGATCTTGTTTTTTTCATCGCATATAAATAATTGAAAAATGCTCTAAACTATTTGACTATTTCTTGACTTAATATTTTCTTTGCAGTTTAGCAAGTAAATCAATTTATCTAGAATCTCATCACTAATATTTGTCTACCAATTGTCAATTTTTTTTATATCATATGAAGACATTAAGCCTTGTTTGTTCTTTCCATATAGTTCCCATCTTTATTTTATGGGATATAGTGATATGAATAAGACTAGGAGTCTAGATACTCGTTCATTCGTCACAAGTGGTGTATAAGTTTTGTTGATTGTTTGATCTCATGAAAGACTAGGAAATGACCTAGTGTGTCGAAATCATATATTGAGTTTGAATATCATGCAATGTATGCATCATGTTCATATATTATTTGGCTATGCATATCACTATCAAAACTTGATTTTTCTTATGGTTGTCTCACTCATTTACATGTTAATAATACCAGTGTCATCAAAATTATTGTCATCCAATTTATCATAAAAACACCAAAAATATTGAATTTGATTGTCACTCAAACTGAGAAGACTTTGTTATTCTTATAATAACCTTTTTCACATCATTACAAATCTTCACATTGCGGACATATTTATGAATATTTAACCAAGTAAATAGATTAATTTTTCGCAACCAATTCATATGACAAAACAGTATCAATTTGAGAGGAGATATTAACATAGTAAATATTAATTACTAATATTGACATAATTAATATCAATTGCCCTCCATTATCGTCACTTATCTCATATATCTTTATGCTCTCTGTAAACTATATTCCCTAATTTGTTATAATTAATTATATGGCTTTCGATTTTATGTACCTCCTATTAATAAGTCTCCCGAGGTTTCTACAGATGTGAGTCAAATGGATGAATTTGAATAAGAATTTGAACATGAACAACTGAGGGTCTATTTGGGCAGCTGCAACTTATCCAAATAAGCAACTTAACTTGATAATATGTTGATAAACAACTTATCCTGATAAGCTGGCTAGCTGTTTGGTTTGTGCGTTTCGAAAACAACTGATTTTAAATAAATGGCCATTTCGCCCCTATTATGGATAAACTGTTAGCTGTTTAGCAATTGTGCAGATGTTATGGAGAAGATTTGGTTTTGCTTTAAGCCAGAAAATACTTTTTGGATACATACAAACAGTTAGCAATTATAAATTTGATCAATAGAAAATTTATGAGATAAAACTCAAACCAATTTGAAAAAAAAAGTATAAACTCAAGATATTTAACTCAAATCTATTAAGAATATAACTTATCGTTCATTCAAAAACTCATACCTCATTTGAATTCAATGGTTCAATCGCCATTGCACAGACTACCAAATAAAGTGGTCTGCAGAATAACACTTACCGGGGAGAAAAAAAAAAGAAAAGGGGAAGAAGAAACCAAAAGAAATTAAGCCAAATTCAGTGTAAGGATAATTATTACATGATTGAAAAAAAAGAAAAAAAAAAGAATAGAACAAGTGGGACTTCAGTAGCGGTGGAACAACCATGAACTCTGTCTCTCTCTCCCAAAAAATGAAGAAAAAAAATTAACGACCAATGACTCACAGAATTATTGAAGGGAAGAAGACGACAGATTTTTACTTCGAAGAAGAATCGATACAGATAGTTCTTTGCTCCTCTGAGATATATAAAATGTTGCATTACTCGAAGAGGTGGAACGATGGGATCGCTGCTACCTAGGAAGGTCGTTGCTACTTAGGAAGGGAACGACAGGTTCGCTGCTACCTAGGAAGAGAACGACGGGATCACAGCTAACCTGGGAAGGGAACAACGAGATCGCGACTGCCTGGGAAGGGAATGAAGGGATCGCGGCTATCTGGGAAGGGAACGACGGGATCGAGGCTACCTGGGAAGAGGTAGCTCCTATCAGAAATCCAAAACTCCCATCTTCATCCTTGCACTCCGCTCCTATCAAAATCCGTCTGTTCGCACCTCCTTCCAAGATCGAGGTCGAGGGCAGCATAGTAAAGAATCACGAACGAACGTGGGAAGCAAGGTCGACCCCGCGTCCAGCGTTTATTAAGAAATTAGATACTCCGTTTTAGAAACGCTGAGGGAACGTGTGAATCAAACAGATAGGCGGCGTTTTCAAAACGCTTTTAAGCTGTCACAAACGAAGCCTGAGAGTGGTACTTTTGTAAATAAACAACTTTTCTAGTGCTATGTAGACAATTACCCCCTCACATTAATTCAATAGTATAAGTTAGCATCAACAAATTGAACTAATTCATATCCAAGAACAAAGACAGTATATTTAAATTTTAATTCATAAAATTACCTGCTTCAAATTTGGTGTTTAATAAGAATTTGAATTTGTGCTTATTGAGCAAAAAACGAACCTCCCGTATCAACAGAGAAAACAGATTGCTTACTCAAGCATGAACGGTCTTCTATGAGCAAATTCAAACAAACCCAGTTCTATTTAATAACTAAAGTTCGGCTCTAATTTAAGAGCTTGCCATCTTAATCACATTGCGAGAAAAATTGACGTGAAACTGTAACGTAAATTAACTATATTAGTAGCTAAAAACTGGGAAAATAAAAGCATCGAAGGAAGAAGATGACTAGTTAGGGCGCAGCGAGGAGAGAACCACATCTTGCAGGGAGCTATCTCGTTGCATGGCTGCTTTGAATTCCTCAAAGGAGACCTTCCCGTCGCTATTGGCATCCATCTGATCAAATATCTCATCTAGCTTCCCGGGCTCGGTAATGTCTGCCGGAAGGCAATCTTCAGGTAAGGCCTGCGAAATTAAGACATTGAAGCAAAGCCGACCTGTTGGGGCATCAACTTTAAGTTGTTTGAAAAAATTTACTCACTCTGAGCATTGATGCCAATTCCTCTCTGCTGATACAGCCGGATCGATCGGCGTCATACATCTAATGCATGACATATAAGGACATTAGGTAAAAGCTGTGGAGTTTAATTTTTGCACTATTAAAATTATAGTGAAATCTGTAGTCGAAGACCTACTCATCAATTAAGATTAAACTTTATAAAAATTTAGGTTTATATGCGTTGATCATCTTTTCTATTTTCATTATTGTTTTCATTCAAGTTGTTTGAATTTAAGTTTTGGTTATTTGCCAACACAGCAGATCTCTCATGCATACGACAATAATGATAGGTTTCATGCCAAAAGACAAAAAAGGAATTATTGGTTGTAGGTTATAATCAGTTATCTAGTAAATAACAGTTAAAAGAAATTTTTACATAAATACCACTCAATTCTTATGTATTGACATATATAGCACATAAACTTTAATTTTTGCATACATAACACCTTATCTATGCATGAAAAGCTGTGTTTCACTTTTAAAAGTTAAAATGGTAGTATTTTTTATGTAAATATGAATGATTTGGGTGGTATAAATGTAAAGAAAATTTTAGCTGTAAACAAATACGAATTGGGTGGAAAATGCCCCAAGATAAAATTATCCTCCTTCTTAGTGTGCATGAGGTCTCACGCATTTAGTTTTCAAAGTTGGGGCCCATCATAGGAAACAAACTAGATTTATTGTGAGAGAGAGAGAGAGAGAGAGAGAGAGTATATATATATATATATATATATATGTATATATATCCACAAAAGCCTTGCGACCCTAAAACTTACAGAGAAGAAAAAATATAGAGTGAAAAACCAAACTATTTATAGCATAAAATGACTGTTGAAACATTTGAAAAGAGTTGTCTTCATTAAACTAAAAAATCATCATTATCCTAACTTGGGGTTAGCTTGATGGATTAGTTTTACTCATCCATTCCATTTAAGTATGTTATTAGATGTTGTCTTCATTCATTGCAACCCCTCTAACAGCTCATAATCATGTTGTTCTTTTCTATACATCCTCTAAATCATTTTACATTAATTCCATATCTTCACCTTAATTGTACATCATCCAAGTAATATTTATAGTATGCTGAAGCAGGAAACTTGCCAACTATATTAAAAAACCTTCATGAAAATTCTTTTAAAACCAGACCAGAACATTCTGTTGGCGAACACTCCAAAATATGCAGCGGAGATATAATAATGATAGAGAAAAGTGTTAAAATAGTCCCTTGACTCTTTGTTGAGTTCATTAGAGTGTCCATTTAGTTCTTGAGCTTTTTAAAAATGTTGAAATAGTCCTCACAAACAACTATTTCAGCCCTAATTTAAAGAGTCCGAGAAATAACTTGACACTTTTATCGACTCTAGGACTAGAATACTCAATTAAACAATCATGAGACTATTTTGACACTTTACACAAGAACATTATTTCTTCAATCAAATTTTAAGGAAAGGGAGAATGACACAATAGAGTCATAATACCTGAAAGCAAAGCCTGAGTGCATGATCACCTCTAGAGTTTCTGAGACTCGACAACCCACAGAGGATCTCTCTCATGTCAACAGTTCCATCACGGTTGTTATCGAATATGTCAAATACACGAGCAGCGAGAGGGATGAGTGATTCCATGTTTATTGCTTTGAGAACTTGCTCAAATTCCTCTAGGGTGGCATTGTCTCCATTTGAACATCTGCTTGATGCCAGTTGAAAATTAAATATGAAAATGTCAAAACAATAGCTTGTATATAAGTGTTTCTGAAACTCTCTGGTTAAAAAAGAGTTTAATAAAAAAAAAGAAAGTGAAATCCAATGGCAACTAAAACATTTAATGGTGGTTTGCGTGACAGCACACGGAGTTATGCTCTCATCTAAATAGAAACCTGACAGAATTTAAGCATGATGAATGGTGGCATAAGGGATTTATAGTTATATAAAAACTGCATTAATTGTAAATCGTTTTAAGTAACTGATTACAATTAATCACTAACATTTGGTTTAATTCTCAACTCGGTTAGTAGATTAAGATTTTTGCTTGTTTTGGAAGAGATTGAGAGTGATAGGTGAATAATTCTAAAGTCGACTTGTTCGGCCAGGGTGCTCTCAGCAAAGATCGTCATAAAGTGGTGTCGCATATGGCAAAGATTCGAAATTGGATTGGGCTACTCGGAAGATCCTGATTCTTGAATAAAGATGAAGATTACTTTAGGTTGTTAATTCTTGTTCTCTTCAAATTTTAAAAGACATTGTTCATTGTTCATATTTTGAAAGTTGTTTTTTTGCTCTTGTTACTTGATTTAAATTATAGAATTAAAATCTGCAAATTTTATAAGATGGTAGGAAACCTGTAATGTTGGCGCAGAATGTTGGCCTATAAAGAGAAGCATAAAACAAATTTAAGTGTTGTTGAGATGAGAATACTTAGGTGGATTATGTTGGGTAATGTGAAGACCCGGTCCATCGAATTTAATTAGCTTCTTAATTATATCCCACCTACCGCTTACCTACCGCTCACCTACCGCTCACCTACCACACCCCACCTACCGCTCATCTACCTCCCACCTACCGCTCTCATGGTTTCTACAAATAGTCTCTTTGGTTTAAAGGAAATGCAAGCTAAGCAAGACCAAGCCAAGTCATCTTGAGAGCTAAGAGAAATAGAGGAAGAGATGGAGGGAGAGAAGAAAATAGAGATTTTCTTGTAAACGTCGAGGTGCTCGACGGTGTAATTCCTCGAAGAAATAAATTTTCTGCAGCTCCGTGGACGTAGACAAATTTGTCGAACCACGTAAATCTGTGTGTCGCTCTGGTATTTTTTCTACGTGCAATTTTTCTCATTTCAATTTTCATTTTATTGTAGTCGTTTTTCACAACTAATATCAGAGAATTTGGTTCAGATCTAAGGAAGAACGATAGGCAGAGACGAAGTGATGACATCGGGGATCGAGAAGTTCAATGACACAGATTTTGCTTACTGGAGGATGCAGAGAAAAAACTACCTCTATGGGAAGAAACTTCATCTTCCGTTACTGGGAAACCGACTAGAAAAGATGGACGAGGCGGAATGAAATCTGTTGGATGATGAAATCTGTTGGATCGACAGGTTCTGGGGGTTATACGATTAACCCTATCGAGATCGGTTGCCCACAACGTCATCAAGGAGAGGACTACTGCAGATCTCATGGCGGTTTTATTACGTATGTATGAAAAGCCATCAGCGAATATTAAGGTGCATCTGATGAAAAAGTTTTTCAACTTGAAGATGGCGGAATGTGTGTCTGCTGCTCAACACCTAAATGATTTCAACACTATTACAAATCAGTTATCGCATGTTGAAATTGATTTTGATGATGAGATACGTGCACTGATATTGTTGGCTTCATTGTCAAATAACTGGGAAG